AAAAAAAAACGGACTAGAAAAAAATTAAATTCGAAAGGGGGACTAAGATGCACTTTTATACTGTAAATGTCGATTACTTCAAACACTTCAAGGAAGAAAACTATCAACAGCAGAAAACTCTGCGTTAAAATGTTTCCCTATGTAGCTCTTTCCTACAAAAAACTACTAAAACCAGAACAAATAAACTACTTACCAGTAATCTTTTCAAGCAGTTTCTTTGAATTAAGTTTTTCAGTTTCTGTCTGTTCTTTAGCCAAAGTGAGTTCGACATTTTGGGCTTGATATACATAAAAAACATAAAAAAACAGCACAAGGCCAGCTAGAAAACCAAAAAGCGGCCAATTTCGAAACACTGGTCCGCTGTGTGACGAATGTGGCCTGAAAATGTGAACCATAAGTTCATCTCACAAAAAAAAAAAAAATCACATTTAAAAATTCTATCCCTTCCTTTAAAACTAAATGTCGATTAGTTCTATAATGCAACTTATTAATTCTGAAGATAAGTCGTTATTTTGAAACTACTAATAGAATAAAAATTTATAGGATTTTATTTTAGCACAGGAGTGAAAATTTTTGGTGATAGCGGAGAGAACCTAAGCAAACCACGTTTCTGTCCACTGGAGGCGGAATACATGTCAGACTGACTTTCAGCGTCTGAGTACGCCAGTTTTACGAGTACAGTTTGTTACTGTCCTTCAAAAAAACCTAAATTATGTAAAAAAGAAGAAGAATCAAATACGAAAAACGTTTGAGGAGCCTCGATTTTTAAACTGATAGTAAGAAGATGTGAAAAAATACTGTAAAAAAACACCACAAAATTCAAAAAATAACAAAAACAGTATCACTTGATGTAAAGAAAAGAGAACAATGATTACACTGAAAAACAGCGCAAGATTCTAAAATTAATTTGAACTAACAAGTACAGCAGTAATTGGCACAAAAGAAATCTACAAATAAATCTAAAAAAACAGCATTAGATATAATCTTATTCTAAAGTGTTGTATCTTTGTAAAAGCGTAAAAAACCGTGATAAAAAAAATTCAAACCAATTCCTGTTGCCAAACACCGCATCGCTGTATAACTGTTCTCTACTCAACCCTTTTCTTCTAAACGTTTTCTTTATTTTCAAGCTAAATAATTATTTCAAAGAAAATCAGTAAAAAAAAGGAATACTGTGACGATGGTATTGAATATATAATATTTAATTTATAATGCTATAACTTCTTAACTGAAAATAAAACTGCACAACTGTTTATTAGAAGATATCTCAACAAAAATTGCTCTCCAGGTTTTCAATAAACTCATATTTCTGCAGGTTCCCCCTTTGATCCTTTTGAATGCAGTAATAAGTTTCAACCAGTGACGACCGGAAGGAATGTCGATAGTATTCGAGCGTACTATATCTAAGCCAGTAACCAAGCAGGAATTTCCAGCCAAATGATTGTTAGATCGTCCGACTAAGGTGCTGTGTGAAAAAAGTTCTTAACTTTTTGGATAGCATCAATTGAAATCTCTCCGATTTAATCAATCAGAATCGGACACACAACCTACAAATGATCTTCGAGCCCCCTACATTTTCTGATATTTCACTTGTATGTCATTTTCTAAGTCTTGAAAACATAAACTGGCTAACCACGAATTCGAACAAGCGAAACCTTCTTTTCTTTTAATTTAACCTAAGGCTTAACAGTCAGCAAAACTAGTAAACACTGTTCACAGATTTGACACCTAATAAAATCATACCAGAAAAATTCCTGTTAATTGAACTTTTTATGAAAACAGATGCAAAACAGATGCATATCAGATGTTGTGACAAAATCAAATTAGGAGAAAAAAAAAAACAAAAAAAAAAACCTCCCGCTTCACACGGTTTTACAACAAAAAGGGAAAAATAAATAAATAAAAACAGTCAACTAAAAAAGTTTAAACAATATGGCAAGAAAAAACTGGATTAAAATATAACACAGGAAAAGACTGACTGTACGTTGAAAGACAACAAAAACGATGATGTTTGGTGACAACAGTTGAAGCATAATGACAGCGCCAAACAATCGACGCATGCAACACCAAGTAACGGCAGTTTGCTTGTGTTGCTACTGCTACGGCTGTGGTCGTTGCTCTTGCTGCCATTGCAGTTCTCCTTCCAAAGAAAATTAAAAATTATTGCGAAAT